GTGATTTATTTCCAATATGAAATTTAGAAAAAATTCTAGACTCTTAAAAAAATGACAAAAAAATAAAACCTCGAAATTTTTTGTTTTTATTTCTCAGTTTTTGTAATGTAATTGGTTGCTTTTTAACTTTTTTTCATTGGATTTTGTTCTTTTTTCGAAGCTAGCGATTTCATTTCGAAAATGAAGAACAAGCAGGCCTGAAGTCCTATCAAATCAGAATTAAATCAATTGAAAATTTTTGTTATTTTTTTTTTAATTTTGTTCAAAATTGCTAGAAGCGTTTGTTGTTTTAATCTGTCTACTTGAGTTGCTGTCTGCTTTTTTTCTGATCGGCGTATTGTACTTCTTAAGCTTAAATTTGTTTCAATTTATCAAAACTGTATTGAAATAACTTTTTACTTTTTCGTTGTCAATTCGAAAAAACGTGCTTTTTAATTTTATTTCAATTCCAGAAAATGTTCATACGTTTTCGGACTCATTTGTTTTTTAAATTGGCTCAATGATAGCCACTTTTGTCCTTTTTATGCTAGCGATTAGCAAGCGTTATCGAACCGGAATATAGACTTTTTCCGGGTTATCAACTAGTCTAACAGAATCATTTGAATCATTCTAACTTTGGTTCTTGTCAAAAACCAGACGTTTTTTTGCGCATGTGGCAAAGAGCTAACGAATATGGCTGCCTATAATTACAAAAGTCAAGGGTTCGAATCCGGCCAGTACCTGTTATTTTTTTGCGTGGCGGAAATTTATCCGCGTGTCAAAAAACTTTTGCTTGACTTTTTGTTGTCGGTTTAGTTGCCGCAGCAACAAATATACCTAAAATGTATATTAAAACTTTTCAGCGTATTCCGGTTTTGGGCGACTAAATGAGTTCCAAAAAATTTTTTGTCATTTTTTCCATGTGTTTTCCAGGTGTTCTTTGAAAAAAATCTTATAACTTTTTTATAAATTAAAGGACCATTCTGTGCATTTGAAAAATTTCCTAAGTGGCATAAAATGAAAAGTTTCCCTAAATGGCATAAAATACATGCAAGATGCATTAAAAACTTCTTCGAATGATCTTGTTTTTGTGATCAAGGCATGAAAAATAATAAATTTTCAACTCAATTGTTGAATAACCTTTTAATTTGAAAAAATTCCCGAAAGTGCTTAACAAAAGAGTTTAATATTTCAACTTAAAGTGTTTTGTACTACAAAAGTAACGAAATGATTTCATTGTTTTTTTTTGTTATATCTATTATTCGACAAGGCGTTCAGAGTGTATAATTGCAGAGGTTAAACTTCTTTGATTTAACGTTTTATCTTCAAAAAAACTTAAAATTCAATTTCTTCTGTGACCGGTAAAGTAATTTGGACAAAGTTTTACTGCACAACAAATTTTAATAGAGTAAGAGCTACTCCTCTATGTGCTGAACCATCTCATGAATGAGTAGCTATTTCACAATTAAAGATTGTTGTTGTCGCAAAATTTTCTCCCAATTACTCAGCCGGTCCCAATTTTTTAACTATTACTTTAAGCTCGCAGCTGATGAAGTTTATACTTCATTCTACTAATGCAGTCGGAATTATCTGTTGCTGAAAAATCTCTTTGAAAAAACAAATGTTGCTACAAGACGTTGTTGAGTAGTGGTACAAGACGATGCATAATCTAAAAGAACCCAGTATTAGGAAACAAAAACAGGGCGTTTCTTAGACTGCCATTGTTTAGCAGTTAATTCAATATCCCCAACCCTTAACAAAATGAAAACTAAAGAAAATATGATTTTTTATATACATATGAATGATAGTTTTTGTTAATTTTTTAAACTTGTTAGTTGCTTAATCATGGATCCTGACAGGCATCCTGACAGACATATGTATTAGATTACCATCCCAGGCTCGCGGGCTTGATTCTCGGCTCGATTGCATGATAATTGATGCATAATTTAAAAAAGGACCAGTTTAACCCCAATAGGGCCAAGTAGAGGGAAAAGCATTTAGGTTTCTTTTGGAGGTAAAAGCTAAAGGATACGACAGAAGCTGATTAACAAGGGGCAGAGTAGGGCAGTCGCCCCCCTCAGGGATTTAACCCGCTGACTGCCCAAAGTGCCCCTTTGGTACTATTTTAAGATCTCCATTCAGGCTAGCTGAGCCTAAAAATTTCTTAAAGTAGGCTTGAGCGTCAAATTAAAATAATTTTGAGAGGGGAGCGCGCACCAAAAAACTGCAAATTTTTGATCAATATTACCCTATAACTGACGCAAAAAAAATCCTTTTTGTCCTGAAATTAAAAGCTATGCACTATTAATTAACTTTTAATCTTTCAAGCTGTGCACTGGATAGGCGCACAATTTTGTGTCTGTACGATCCTGTATTCCCGAGACAAATCTTCAAACATGTTTCAAAACTCAAGTGGATTCCACTTACAAATTTTCTCCGGATTCCGCATACAAATATCTGTAATGTAAATTTTCTCGGCACATTAGTTTTGTTGCGGTTTCCGCAACGACCGAATATTGTTATTGTACGAGCGAAGGTAGTTGTTCCGGATTCCGCAAAAGTAAGTGGATTCGCGAATGTACGTGAATTCTGCAAATTTATGAGGATTCAGCTTACAATTTGCACGTTCCGTTTACTTTTGCGGTTTCCACGTCAGCTTATGTTTACTTAACACACATATTATTAAGGATTCCACAAACTGTTCGGATTCCGCAAATTTTGTTGCAAATTCCGCAAATTTGCCTGTTTTTGGAGAAGATTTGAGCAATACAGAGTTTTAGTTATTTGTCCGTGGAATCCAAAGCAGCAAAAAAGATCAAAGAAAAGTAGCAGTGTTGCGGATTCCGCGATAAATCTGATTTTGGCCTGTTGCGGAATCCGCTTAAAATTCACAAAATGCGCAGTTTGGCCTCGTAATGATCGACAAATATTTCGAAAATTTTTGGAAAATCCGCTCCTCCCTCCCCCTCACGAAAATCCTTGACTAGCCCGTGTGATAGGAAATAAAATTGAAAAAAAATTAATGGTTTTTTTTGGAAAGTTTTGTTTATGAATGTTTTAGATTCGCCATATTCCATGTGATATAGTGTGCTACGCAAAGAACCGTAGATCTGTGGTTCGAGTTACAGCTGCTCTGTCATCTTTCTCAAATCCTGTTCGTTCTTTTTTTTCGAAATAATTTTTTTCTATGTCAAGCAGCATTATCCGCTATGGATACAATTTTTTGCATGTAGTTTTGAAGGCTGTTTTTTTAAACTTTACTCTCATGATGACTCTAAACTTGATGATATAATTTCAGAAAAAAATTGTGACCATCATATTAGATGAAAACTCGTTTTTTTTTTCCAAAAACAAAAGCTAAAGGATAATAAGAAAATTTTTGTTTTATGGTCTTGCTTTATGAAGATTTCAGAAAAACAACGTGACTTATTCGATTTGGGTAGTGTACCAAGTACGAATAACGAAACGTAGATCTGGGGTAATGCACTACGTATATGTGGGGTAGTGCACCCTTTCACAAAACTGTTAGTTTTTATTTTAAGGAAATATTACTTTTTCTCTAAGCCAAGCAGCATTATCCGGTATGGATTGTAAATCCCGCTGCATGCCCTTCTCAAGTCTCTTTTACTCTAGTTTTTTTCTTATGATGACTTTCAACTTGATGATGTAAATTTTTTTTTTGGATGAGTTAATTCTTCTTGACTTTCTCTTTAACTGCAGCGGAACTTTGATATCATGGTTTTTTCGTTGCTCAAGTATGCCAATTATCTGTGAGCACAATCTCAAAGATTACTAATTTGTACGTTTAATCGGGCCAATTCAGTTGTTTTGAAAATATAATGGCTTTTTTCCAGTTTCCCATCCCCTCGTAAATTATATCATAAAGTTGTCGTCTAAAAACGGTTCCTACTGAGTTTCTCACTTGTTCGCACTGAAAAGCTTGTTTTTGGTTTATAAATAATTAACACCATGAAATTGTATGATACTGTATGACAAGTTTTTTTTTCATCGTGAAATTTCATGATAGGCATTTTTTGTCAACACGGTATAGTAGGGGATCAATTAAGCAATCCCCCCCCCCCAAAAAAAAACATGGAACTCAAACAATACTTTGAAAAAATTACTAAAACTGATGCATATAAAGCCGACATTTTCTGTCTTAACTGAAAAATTTAAATGATATTGCGTACATTATTAAGGGTGCCGCGGAGAACAATTGTTGTGTGTTCAGATACAGTGATAGAGAACCAACCGAGCAACTTAGAAAGATTTTAACTAGCAGCGATAGCCGGTTGCTCCGCACAGGATCCGAAAAAAACGATTGGAATTAACAAATTTGAAAAACAAGAATATCGTTTTTTTTTCATGTCCTTTTCTCTTTTTACTTTTCTCGCCTTTTTCAGCAAAGAAGGTTAAAAAATAGGAAAAATTGTAAAAAAACGAGAGGTAATAGTAGCTAACATGATGTACAATTGTAAAAGAATTAAACTGAGAGTTCAGTCACTCTTTGAATAATGCGTAACATTTTCGAAAGTTATTTTTGAAATACGAATCACCAGCCTGGTAGGTTTTTCATTTGATACCCTCTTTGACCAGTTATGAGTTTTTTGAATTAGTCAAAATTGGGCGGAATGTAAAAACCTAACCTACGCTATAGTTAATTTTCGTCACATCACAATCGCCTTTTTAACACCATTTTAAATTTAAGCTACTTTCAGCTGAAAAAATGTTTTTTCAGTTTCAATACATTTCCCTAGGCAAGAATTGATTTGCCGTGTGACCATTGTTTGCAAATTTTTTTTACATGCGAGAAAGAAATTTACATCAAATTTTTTTCGATCATCAAGCATAGCGTCGACCTCTTCAACGTTATTTGTTTTACATCAACCAAAAATTGCTCTGCTTATGAAACTTTTTAATAATGAGAGTGTGTTAATGTGAAAATTTGGCTAAATCATTTGACTTTTATTCCGGAATTGTTTTTTTCTTCAACAATTTGACCCGCTGGGATGTTGCATATATTAATATTAAACACGTTCTTAGCGCAAAATCACCTTTGGGACTTCTTGGCAGTTCCTAGATAGCAATATAGCCAAGGTTCAGAAAGTAGTTGCTAATGAATGCCCAAAAGTGACTGCCCAAAGAGTTGCTATAAATTTGCGGAATTAATAGCTAAAATTTGCTCAAAAATAGAAAAAAAAGCCATCAGAAAACACTTAAAATGAAAATTAACCCAAAAGTATACATCGGCTGAAGTTCTTTCTGCTCAAGTAATTCAAAAAAAAGCTTGAAAAACAAAAAAGTGAAAAAGTTGTTGATGAAATGGTTATAAAAACAACTACAAAAGTAGTTTAAGGGCTAAAGAAAATATTTTCTTAACACTGGTATTAATTAAAGTCGCTGTTGGTAGTTGAGAGAGTTTTCTTTCAATAAGCGGAATTTTAGGCTAGTGTTCTGATAAGCATTTAAAAGTAAGTAGCCTAATTAGCACTAACTATAAAAAATATGCTTTGAACTTTTGAATAAACATGTTTTGACGCAACCGTTTTTTTGGGAGTTTTTTGGAGACTCGGCGCGACTATTTTTTATTAATAATTTTGATAAATCTTTTATATGATATTTTAAGGAGCGTCACGTTTTTAAATTTATAACTTAACTCTGGGCGTTTATATTCAAAGTACTCGCCATAAATCTGACTTTCTTTACTTCAATTTGCCCGCTCATTGTATCAACTTTCTTCCTCAATTTAAATAACACCTTTGTCCCCTTTTAAACCCTCCAGTCATCTTTTTGTAAACAACTTTTGCTTTCAACCCACTTTTTTTGTTTCTTTCATGATCCAAAATTGCCTATAATTTCAAACCTGATTCAAAACAAGCTTATCAGAATCAGGTCAATTGAAGACAGTTCAGCAAAGTATCTAATCTTCGGCCGGAAAATGAGAGGAACTCAATTAGTGGTTTTCATCTCCGTTTGTTGCCAGATGTTGGGTAAGTGCAATTTTCTTAATAACTTTTCAACAACTCAATATTTTGAATCGAAAGTCAACAAGACTGTTCGTATCAGGGCCGAGCCGTGAATGTTCCGAACGCCTTTTAAGGCCAATGGAGCAGTAATAACATTTAAAAAAATTAAATGTAATAAAATAAAAATAATAAAAAAAATTTCAGATTTTTGTGAATATCATCCACCCACACGCCATCTTAAGTACAAAGGACAAAGTTTCGCTCCTAGTAACAAATCAGTAATGGCAAATACGCTGCCTTCAACCAATTTGGAATGATTTCTAAGATGAATTAAATCTCCGCTTACGCGTTGATGGCGCGAAATAAATCGCGCGTTAATTGTCGCAAATTGGCCGAAATGGCAATCTGTAAACCCCCATAATTTTACGAAAATTGATTACAGGTGAAAAATCTTTTCAAAACTAAGCCCCGGAGAACATTACTTTTTGAATGATATTTAAAAAATTCCGTCAAAAGTGGCTAGTTAAAAAGTCAACATTTTTCTGAAGAAAAAAAAACGACTTCGGGCACAAATATTCTGTTACTTTGCTTTTGACATTAATATTTTTCGGATTGTCCAAAAAAGGTTAGTTAAAAAGTTGAAAAATTTCTGGTGAAAAAAAAACCTGAAGCATAATTTTTTCGTAAGTTTTTTTGAAAAATGGAACAATGAAAAATTTGATTGACTTTTTTTGCGTTGGCAACTTGTTTTTTGAAAAACACGTAAAAGATCAAATTTCCGAAGTTTTCCAGAATGATTTAAGATTGAGGTATCGTTTATATTAAGCAATATGTGGAGATAGCGAACGAAAAACCAATACAATGAAAGCAACCAAAAGACTGCTCGTATCAGGTTAGTGCCACGAATAAACCGACTAGCTATTCTATTGTTCAAATTTTTTGGATTTAAATTTCGATGATTAGGTCTACATGCGAATCTTTGATATATGAAACAAATTTTAAATCACAAGTTACAACTTCCACAAAACGTAGTCGCATAATTAGGGAGTTTTAGAGTCATGAAAAAGGAAACTTTGAAATATCTGTAAGTTATTATTTTAAGGCGTTTATATCTTTCAAATGATAAAAACAAACTGGTCAAAAATTTTTGTTTCAAAATCAAATACTGCCTGGAGAAAAATCCTAATTTTATACTTTTTCCCCTGCAAAATCCACAACAAAAAAATATCGGAATATATAGAATTGAATATCACTTGAATACCCTGTGTGTCATGATTCAAATGACTTTCTTCCAAAATTTTTTAAGGATGCAGAAATTAGAATCTATGGTTCTGAAAATGGCGCAAAAAAACTCCAAAAACTAATTTTACTTGCTTAAAACTAATTTTTCAGGGCTAAAATTAAGCTCTCGATGCTGACAAAGCTTTTTCAAATTTTTTCAATGCTTTTATCACAACTGAAAGGGCTTTGATATCAGATATCACTCGACCCAATCCGATTATTATTTGTGGTACATGAAAAAAAATTAAACGTACCCGAATCAAGTTGAATTAACGAAATTCAGAATAAATTTTTTGATATTTGTAGAATGTTTATCTTTTAGCTAACTGTGTTTGCCTAACTTTTTCAGGATGTATTTTGTTCCGGTTTTCGAAAGAAATGATGGAAATATTTGTGCTCAGTATGTTTTCTTCCAGACAAACAGCTGCTTTTAAGTATCCATTTTTATGGGATTTTTTCGTATCCTGTGCCAAAATAAGATAGATATATCACCTGCGAAATTTTTTGTTAAGTTATGAGGGCGTGCAACGAGATTTTAGCGACGAGTTTTCTGAAAAATATCACCTCGTAGTTTACAACGAGTGTGTGATAAAGACAAAATGAAAAAAATTAAATCTTCGTTTTCAAAACCAATTTTTTTAATCGAAACCTTTTCATCGGAACGCTAGAGGTCAGCCGAACAATCAGATACGAGCAGTCCCAAGATGCCCCGTCATCTTTCAAAACTGATACTAAAATTTTCAGCTGCTGCCCATACGCAAACAAAACAAAATCTACTAAAGTTTTCAGAAAAAGTGTTTTATAAACGATGTCTGACAGTCAACATTTACTTACAGCTTTTTTGTTATAAGACGTTTTTGTGTATTTGAATATCAAATTGATAGTAAGTGTATGCAGGTCTTTTACAGAAGCTTAGTAGATGTTCTTAATCACCACCCTGTCCTCCAGTTAAGATAGTTCAGTCTCAGAAAATTTTTGCAGATACTGCCAAACATTTTTCTATTTTTTACAGCTTCTTTTTCCTCTGCGTCCTTCGCCCATGAGATCAACTGCAGAGGGGGAGTGAGCACAGAACAGTTAGTGGCAGTGGCATTCACAGTCGAGGACTTCTGCAAACTTCACCCCGACGGATACCTGCAAGTCCAACTGGGGGGAAATAATTATGGAATGGAAGACAAGAGGGCAGCTGAAACTTCCGGGCTCCAGCTCAGAAAGTTGAAGAGAACTGGAATGTACCACTAACGACACTATAGTCACCAAAATATCAGTTTAATTGAATTGTAAATGTCATATATTATGCGTCAAAAAAGTTTCAAGTTGAGAAGTTCTACAATTTACCGACATGAAATAAAATAATCATTATATGATTACAGTATTGTGCTAAAACATCGAAACATCTAAAGGTTATCTGTATATTGGCGTAATCAGCAAACTGAAGTTATTGAACTCAAAGTTTTCACTTCGAGTTTAAATTAGCATAGTTAGAGAAATATTAGTCTGAAGTTACAAGGAATAATTGCGGACATTGAGCAAGAAACAGTTCTATGAATGAGAGCTGTTGAGAGTATATCTAATCATCAATCAAAAAGGATAATACGTGAAATCGAAAAAACAATGGGTTTTTTCCTAATCATTGTGTTATCAGGTTTTGTGAACTAAAGTTCGACGTGTGCAATCATCATAATGAGTTGAGTAATATATCATATTGAAAAACTTGCAAAAAATTTCGAAAAAAAATTCTCCTAAATTTTTAAAAAATTTTTCTAGTCATTGTTGCGAAATTTTTTTTGGTATAATTTGCCTAAATTACTATTACTGTTCAATATGCCTGATTTATATTTATACGTCAGATCCTTTTATGACACCAATCAGAAAAAAAACTTCACTAATTTGGAAAAAAACTTTCTAAACCGTAGTTTAATAAAGACTATGGTCGGGACTTTCTGTGCAATTGCACAGTAACCGGCTATCCTTGTTTGTCATTAATTTTAGTTAAAAATACAAAAAAAAATTATAATTTGAAACTTTTTCTAAAATTTTATAAAATCCGTTTTTTCGTATTCTTTTTACAAAATACTCTAACAGTAATTAGAAAAATATTTGCCTTGTCGACGTTGCTTAAAGTATAAGTATGATCAATGTTAACGATTTTTTCAAGCATATGTCAAAAATATATTTTTCTCTCCCGACTTCAGTTGATATCTTTTTGAGGAGAAAACATCAACGTTGCTTGTCGACGTTGCTTAAAGTATAATTATGATCAATGTTAACGATTTTTTCAAGCATTTGTCAAAAATATATTTTTCTCTCCCGACTTCAGTTGATATCTTTTTGAGGAGAAAACATCAACGTTGCTTGTCGACGTTGCTTAAAGTATAAGTATGATCAATGTTAACGATTTTTTCAAGCATTTGTCAAAAATATATTTTTCTCTCCCGACTTCAGTTGATATCTTTTTGAGGAGAAAACACCAAGGAGAATGCGACAAAGCATACAATTATTTAACACACGGAGATGTTGTAAGCCAAAATAGTTTGAACTCCAAAAATCAAAATATGATGAACGAAGTAATCAATTACTTTGTAAGCACTCTGGTTTTTGGTTGTTTGTTTTGAGGCAAATCGAGCACAAACAAAAATTAGATAGGCTCGAGTGATGATGGATGCCAGAGCATTTTTATTTTCAAAATGTATTCAATATCGTAAAAATAGAATTACAGAATAATTTTGTTCAATTTTGACAATTTTCTTAAGCATGTTTCATAAATATAATGTTCCTATGTTGAGATTAAATAGTGAAACAGTGAATTTTTCTCCCGTATTCAGCTCATACTTTTTTGAAGAGAATTTTAAGAAGAATGTGATGAACCTTACAAGCATTTATCCCACGGTATTGATGAAAACAAAAAAAAATTGAACTTCAAAATTCACAAATAAATCTGAGATTAGTTCAAATGATGATGGATTCCAAAACATTTACATTTTCAAATTTATCAAGATATCGTGAAAAATAGCTTGCATTTTTTTTAATCGATTTTTTGTAGATACAATTTCAATCAATCTTTACTCACTGCCCAGTACGATGAAAAAAATTTGAACGCTTGATTCATAATTTCGAACTTATTAACCTTGTTCCGTATTTTTAATGTTTTACGGGAAAAATCACGTGCATTCATTAAGCAAATTACCAATACTGACAAAAAAAATCAGACTTCAAAACAAACTAGTACATATAAAATAATTACTGAAAAGAAAGTTGTTTCGTTTGGTATTAGAATTCTATTGAACTTCATCTTTAGTTTGAATTTTTTTGAAACTTTTATTTTCGTCAGGCTCAATATTTTTTTTGCGTCGAGCTTCTAATATTCATTACTTCTCTCAAGCTTTATCTAGCTCTTCCTTTCTAGCTCTTCGAGCCACTTTGAGTTTTTGTTTCTCAATTTTCAACTAGTTTGTTGCTTGTTTCGAGCCCGAATTTTTTTTTTCGTTTTGTCACAGTTTTATCTAGCTCCTCAATTGCTTTGAGCATCTCTTGGTCTGTTATTTTTTGTGCAATGTCAAATGTTGCTTGCATCATGAACTTTTCTCGGTTTTGGAATTCTCTGGAGTTCTATCGAGCTGGAATCATTGCTTCGTTTGAGCCTTTATGAGTTTTTGGTTTAAGTGTGGCTTACCATTTGCTTTGAGCATTTACTTGTTTATAAGAACAACTCATGTCAATCGTACAATTGACTGATTATGCATTTAATTGTACAAGGTACCCAAGCCCCGCAATCTTTGCAATCATTCTCGAACCTTCAAGATTCTGTGGAGAACCTTGATGAAAAATCTTTGAGAAGTTGGCAAGATGATAAAAATCTTCGAGAAATATCCTAGCAACTTGTAGAAAAAACAAAGACGACAAAAAATATTTTGAAGAATTTACAACGATTTTTTTTAAATCCGTGGTTGCGAACGCTGTGAAAACAAGTTTTAAAAAATGTAAAATTTTATGAGTCGATATTTATGAGCTATAAAATGAAGCATAGCGACTATGAACTAACTAAAAATCATCGGAACAAAACTCAGTTTTGCACAAAAAATTTCAAAATTTTCTGATGATTCTCAGCTCCGAAGCAAATTAAGGCAAGAAATTGAAGAATTAGCAAAGCAATTGAATCTAATGACCTATGCAAAAAAATGAAGCATTGCGACACTGAATTTGCAAAAAAAATCATAAGTACAAGGTTTAATTTTTGCTAACAAATCAGATGGCTAATTATAAAACCGATGAATCATAGGAAATAATGGCTATTTATTTTGATGATATCGAAAACTTTAAAAGTGAATTAAGCTTAAAAGTAAAAAAAAACTTCGTGATGAATATCAGTTTCAAAACAAATTTAGGCAACCATCTTTTGATGATATATCCCTCAGATTGCTTGATTTTGTTGACCGCCAGCTTTTTTTGTCAATCGGCCAAATTTGCTTTTTGAAAGATGAGCATCAAGAGTTTTCGAAGATTTACAAAAAAAAAATTCGGAAGATGTTTTCTGTCTTTGTGTTCTCCTTCGTCCTTTTTCTGCAATGACAACATAGACTAGATTCAATTCTAGAAACAGCAATTGTAGAACCAAAAACTGTCGGTGAGCTTAAAAAAATTGATGAGGTTTTTTTTTTAAGATTACCCCCTGTTGAATTGTTAAAAGCTTAAAAAATAAAAAATTGAAACCAGATGTTCGTTTCAAATGTTCATATAAAAGTAATTGGGATATAAACCATGAAACGAGTAATTCGACCATTAAAGTTTTTAAAAATATAGAATTCTTAACAAGTTTCTGTAGAGTTTGCTTCAGTTCTGTTTAGTGATACCTCTTTTTTGCTGAAAAATGTTTTCTCTCCTGAAAAATTGCTAAATTGTCTGGGAAATTTTTAAACCAGTTTTCTTAAAGATCTGTAAGATCTTGGAAAATCTTTGAAAATTCTTGAAGAATCTTGAATCTTAAAAGTCATTCCAAGATTTCAAGAAAATTTCAAATTCGCTTGGTGGGCTTCAGAGCCATCATACAGGTTTCTGCGGATAAGTTCATGGTTTTTTTGGATTGTTAAAAGATTTAAAAAACACGTAATTTTTTTTTAAGATTCTATGCTATCTTTGATAAATTTTGAAGATTCTTCAAGATCTTGCAAAAAGTTTTCAAGATTACCAGACCTCGATACCCATTCCACCGTGCTGTTTCTTTGCTTTAGGCGGTTAGTTGTAGTTGCTTGAACATTTAAGGTATTTGGATTTTTTTCATTAAAGTTTTCGTGTAATCCAATTCCCTGGCGTCATAGAATCAACATCTATACTTCTAATGAATCGTACTCAATTTTTCTTATGAGAGTAGAAATAGGTGCGGTTATTCGCCCGTACCCAGGGGAATTTCTGTGCAAGATCTGAAATTTTTTATTTCATACATAAGTTGATTCTCAGATTTGAAATTCTTTACTTCAGATCTTGATAAGAATTTACAAATTTCAGATCTGAAATTTTGATCTGAATTAACCTTGAAAAACAAAATTTCAGATCTGAAATTAGATCTGAGAAATCTTTTGTTAAATTATAATTTATGCATTTCGAGTTTTTAGTTTTTGATGTTTCTGCAATACACAATTATGTTTAGATTAACTAGCTGCCAAAAAAAATTCCGAATATTTTCACAAACAGTTTTTTGCGAACTAAATTTCTTGTTCAATTGTGTTAAAAAGTTTTCAAAATTTTAGAAGACCTGTATAATTTTTAATTTTCATGCGCTATTTATGCGTTTCTAATGTTTATCTCATGCTTGGGGAAACATACTTCGGCAGTCTCCAACTCGGGACTTTGCTGAGTACCTGCTAGTTGGTAGCTTGCAGAAGCTTAAAAAAATCAAAAACAGTAAAAATTGTGTCCGAATCATTGAGTGTTCAGATCTGAAATAACCAAGAAAAACAAACTAAATTTCAGATCTGAAATTAGATCTGAAATAGATTTTTCAGATCTAAATTCACCAAGAAAAAGAAAACGTCAGATCTGAAATTAGATCGGAAATAATCAATCCTTAAAGTATCCAAGCGTTAATTAAACATTTCACAACCTATTTCAGATATGAAATTTAGATCTGAAAAAGATTATTTCAGATCGGTTTTAGAAAAATTACTGGCTACGGGCGTACAGCTAATGAATGGATTACTTGTTGAGATTCTATTGCCCTTCAAACAGAACCAGAAGTAAGATTGTAGGTTTTAAGATATAATAAGGATCTTGTTTACTACCCCCCCCCCCCTTTTGGACCTTGTTAACTATTTCCCCCATATGCATGTATTATTTTTGACAACCATTTCTAAATAAAATTAAAAATAAATGGGTTTTCATTTTTGCGCGTTTGTAATTGTATTACTCACTATTTATATAAAACCCACGTAAAAAGTTTTATATATATATATATATATATATAT